GACTCCATATTTGATTATTATTGTCAAAGATTTGTTAAGGAAAGAACTTGGTAGTTTCCCCTTTCTTGCTTGCTTATTTATATCGGCCATTGGCCATTGTTGTAACTCACTTTTGAATCTGAAATTTCCATCAGTAATACACTTATGTGTTTGCTATTTTAAACCCCTAATTCTATATCTTAAGGGTGGTTACCTTAAGTGTGAGTTTTAGGTTCTAGTTATTTAAATAAGTGTGTTATATCTTATTTGAATACTAGATTCAACCCCAAGTTAGGAGAAGAGTGTGTAATATCTCTTAACACCAACTTGGTTTATCCAACACTTATTTCTAGCCATTTCTAATCCCACCATTTCTCTCCTGATCCTCCTTTCTTTTCTCATATTAAAAACCATCAAAAAGAACTCTTTCACACTCCATTCATTTCGCCTCTTGCTTGCCTTCAACATATTATCACATTTCCTCTCCGAAAAACCACAACTCTGTTAAGACCCCTAGTTCGAGATATATCAAAACTTTTCCTGGGCCACAACCACGAGCTTGAGCTTTTGGTTGAGTTGGTTCCTTGACATGGTATCGGAGCCTTGTTGACTACGAAACTTATTGCCACCCAGTTTAAAAAAAAATTAAGGCTTCACGTGCAAGGCTCAATAAAGACTACGTCAGCACGTGATGGGGCATGTTAGAATATAGAAAACCTTTCCTGGGCCACAACCACGAGCTTGAGCTTTTGGTTGAGTTGGTTCCTTGAGAAATATGTCTTCCCTTTGGCATATTAAAGTTCATCTTCTTCATCCTACATCTTACATGCAATTGCTTTCTATGTTTTTCATTACCCATATATTGTTAATCGATTGAATTAACTTCTCTGCAGGTTGTTCCCGACTCCTTGGCAACTTTGTCACAGTACTTGACTCATCTGAGGGAAGATTTTGATGCAAGTGGTAATGTGTGGATTCTACGTATAAAGGTCAAAGAGGAAAAAATGCATGAGGGAGTGGGACAGGGGCACCTTAGTACACACTAATGTGTATATTTGTGTGATTTGCAGTTGGAGGACCAGGTGGAATTTCTCTGGCTTCTGGAACACGTGGAAGCAATAGACAAGGTTCAAATGTTTCCTCATATTCACCTGAGCAGGGAGGCCTTCCAACACCAGAGCTGTTGGCAGATGTGATGCTTTCTACTAGACAATTAGTTGTTGAGCAAGCTGCAGAGTGCTTATTGGTAGGCTTTTGAGTTGTTTTGAACTAGTATTTTAAAAAGTAAACTTTTGATTGCATTGGAGGAAATCAATGAAGTAAGGTCTACACACTTCTCTTTGGGGGGGGGGGGTGAATGTACCTGAACTGGGTCTTAACTATGAGAGATATGTGTGCTAAACTGCTAATTTGTAGTGGCTGGAGTATGAAGCCTCTGGGCATATGATGTACTCCCTCTATTCCAATTTTGGGAATTCTTGCGGTCCTTTTTATGTGTCCCTTAGAAACATCAGGGAGCATTAATTAATTTTTCCCTAATTTATGCTTCAAAACTAACTATTGAACACATTGGAAAACCTATATTAAATGTCAGCGAGTTCACACATGAGTGTAAATTTGTGATTAGTTTTAAAACTCTAGGTAACTTTTTAAATATCTGTGTTTTGGATAAAGTGGACAACTAATTAGAAACAAAGGGAGTAAGTTATAGACTTATAGTTTCACAAGAGTGGATAAAGTGGACAACTAACTAGAAACAAGTGGACAACTAACTAGAAACTAAAAGTGGATGAAACTCATGGAAGTGATCCTAAATTCCTAACATCTTTATGATGATATAGCGATTTTTTGCTTAGTTGATTTTATATTCATTTTCTATTTCATTGATAAATTTTCCTTATAAACTTCCATTTAATGAAGGATGTAGAACATTTAGAAGAAATAGATTGGGTTTTGGTTCAGACTTCCATTTTGTTCGTACAAAATGGGATTTAGGCTTAATTCAGCATAAGGATTGTATCATGTGAAATTGTGAACAAGAATATCTCAACCTTGAAATTGTTTTGAAATAGAATGAATATCCATTTTCAATTATTTTTTTGAATAAATACTTGAAACCCCTCAACCTCAAGTTGTGGTCAAATTTACTAAATATTTTGTTTTCTGGAAATATCTGCATATATTTTTGTCACAAAAATATTTTCTTGTCATATACTCCGTAGCCAATAAGCTTATAATTTTCAAGACTTTTAATTTGTTAGATCGTGTTTTCCTACTTATCTGCCATACATCCGTAACTATTTATATATGTAGACATTAGAAAGCACCTAGTTTGTTCTGTTGTTATTTTTTGATGCTTCACTTTTCATTATAAGAGATAAAGCAACACCCATGTTGTAAATTGTGATGAGCCTTTTGGAATGCTTTCATATATTCCAGCAACTGTCAAGGCAACTAGAGGATCAGGCAAACGTAACAGATACAACAGATAGAATGAGGATTCAATCTCTTGCTTTGAGATCAGGAGCGTTTTTTCAAAATTTAGGCGCTTTATTACTTGAGCTCGGTCGGACAACAATGACATTACGGATCGGTCAGACACCGGTGTGATTACTTTTCCTTCCTGAAATTGATTATGATTTTGCATGCTTTATGCCACCTCATCTAAGTTAGAAATCTTTTGAACAACAAAGTTTTACTGATGGTTTAAAAACTTAGGATAATGCTGTGGTGAATGCCGGGCCTGCTGTTTTTGTATCTGCAACTGGACCCAATCCAATAATGGTTCAGGTGTTTCTCTTAATTTTAACCTAATCTAGAATCTAGATACACTGTCACCTTTTTCTTTGAAGCGTGCCACACTGATATGCTTACTGAGCTGATTCAGACATTATGTCTCTGACTTTAATATTTTTGGAACCCTGTATAGCCACAACCCTTTCAAGCAGGGACAGGAATTGGTTCATTACCACTTGGATCTGGAATTTCTGGCGGCCCCACAGGATCTAGCTTCATCCCTAGAAATATTGATATCAGAATACGAACAGGTACTATTCTATGGTGATGTTTTTACTCCTTAGGCTGCGTCAGACATCCATGAAATTTCATTTTGTTTATGTGAGCAGAACAGTGGTTCAGTTCATAATGTGTGAGACATTAATTCGGTCTTTTAAATTTCCCTTTTTCTGGATGCTTTTCACTTCATGATTGACGGATCTGGATCATGGATTCTTAGCTTATATGTACTTGAAATCTCATTGAAAACTCACTCTTGCCACTAGGTGCATATATGCCATCCACTGTTAGCCGTAGAGATTCAACTGTTACGGAGAATCTGGGGCAAGCTGCTCCTGGCGCTCCCAATGGTGAAGATTTGAATCATCGAGGCACTGAAGGTAATAGTAGTTCTATCACAAGGGGTGTGGAGGTTAGGGTACTTCCTATTAGGACTTTGGTTGCTGCAATTCCAGCTTCTGTTGGACGTGCACCTTCTGATGCACCTCGAAGTTATATGGATTTCATCAACTCAGTTTTAGGAAGAGGTCAGCAATTCAGTTTTGGAAATGATAATAGTTCAGATGCTTCCCAAGGATCTGAGCCAAATTTTCCACCCGGTGTTGAGATTGGGCAACCGCCAAACACAGAGGCTGCAGGACAGCGAAACATTAGACTGTTTGGAGTGAATGGTAACATAATTTTTTCGTGTTATTTCTTCAACTTCTATTACTACATTTTTTCTTCTCTCTTTCATGTTCTCTTGTTGATCTGTGACCTTCCTTATAGAATTGGGTTTATGGGTGTTGCTAAATCCACCCCCAAAATGGCTATATCCACACCTTTTACCTATATTTGCTAAATCCACACCCATTAATATAAAGTTGATATTGGTGCGGATTTAGCAAATCTATGCAAAAGGGGTGGATATAGCCATTTTTGGGTGGATTTAGCAACACCCCATATATTGCTAAACGACATACAATACAAGATTGCATAGTCCATTTATATTTTGACATGTTCTATGTATCTATATCATCTGGTTTGAAATCAAAACTTGTAAGCACTAAGCTCTGCACATTGTGGTTTTTGTTTCAGTCAATCGTAGCTCAACTGGTGAAATGTCAAGTAGAGTTGAAAACTTTTTGAGAGCATTATTCCCTGGTGAGCAGATTCAGATTGATGAGAGTGCCAGTGTTCATGGCATGAATACAAATCCTGCTACTGGTGAGAATGGAGCAACTCAAAATACAGCTGCTTCTCAAGAAACTGGATCAATAGTAGAAGACGAAGGAATTTTTTTGTCAAATATACTGCGTCACATCATGCCAATGATATCCGAAAGCATTGAAACGGCACCCAATGCCTCACCCAGCGAACAAGCAGATGATGATGATGATGAGGATGGAAGTTCACAAGCTTCAGCACAGGTACGCTAACATTTTAATATGCTCTCTCAGTGGATTTTGGATCATATCCTTCCAGCAATCATCTCTAAAAGGGTACCGTGTCTTTGTGAAATATAAAAATTCACCATGTTTGGTACATAGCAGTTTTACTTGTAAGACATTGGTTGCAGGCTCAAGAGAATATTGATCAGGCATCCTCCTCTCGACGTCCACGTGACCCTCGATCACAACCTGGATCAAAACGTCAAAAGGTAATTCTTTTACCTGACTAATTTCCCCAGCTTAATACAGGACTGGAAACTTTCACCACAACACACATATCACAAGGAGTGTGTCAAGGAAGAGAGTATAGGTGTCTGGCCTATATCGAGGCAATAAGGGATATTATGAGGGATTAGTAACTGGTGTGAATCACACAGGAGATTCTAGTTTGTTCCTGATTGTACTAACACTACATGAAGAATCTGCCTCGAATTCATATAAACCTAGTTTTGGATGAACTCACTAACTAGCCAAATTCAATATGAATTTTCTCGCATTCAAGGTTGACTAACGAGGCACCACTGGACCTTCACATTGCCTAATCAATTAGGTGCACGGCAAAGGGACAATTAGGCATCCTACACACACCACCACCACCACCACCAACAACAACAACAAAAACAACAAACCCAGAAAAATCCCATACAAAGTACAAAGTAGGGCCTGGCCTGGGAAGGATTTGTTTACGCAGATCATACCCCTACTCGAAAGTAGAGACTGTTAAAAAGAGACCACAGTTCAAGCAAACAAAGTAAATCAACCAAGTAGGCACAAAAGCATGAACAAAGTAAGAGCAACGAGCATCTCCGCATTGGGGCCTCTGCACTTCTCAGCTTCACGTGCCCAAACCATTTCACCCTAGCTTCCCACAACTTATCTTCCACATGTCCTACTCCCACCCATCCCGAATAACCTCATTCCAAATCCCATTCAACCCACACATCCTCATTTCTTCAACTTGAAATTGACAAACGGGAGATAACATAATTGAGCTAACCACTCTCTTGATAAAATTTCTCATTCGTGTTTGTTGATATCTTCTTGTTGCAAAAGTCAACTAAAGCTAGCTTCCACTTTGCCCAAGCAAATCCAATACGATGAACAACATCCCATCTATCTCCCAATCTGCTTGAATGAGCGAACCAAGGTACCATAACTTGTCTCTTTTAGGCACTGAGTGTGAATCAATCCTTCCATTTTTGGCTCCGTCACTTGACTATTGAAGCCACATTCCATCTATTTTGTCTTAGTCCGGCTTAATATGAAGCCTTTGGACTTATGAAATGATGCCACATTTCCAACTTGACATTGAGTTTCTCACGTGTTTAACTGTTTAGTGGTCAATATCTACAATATTGTTAGCAAATAACATGCACCAAGGTACCCCTAGACATCATGTGATAGAACATCTATCACCAATGCAAATAGGAAAGGAATAAGGGGTCAGAGTCACTCTCGATAGTCCGTCCCTTCTGATAATCTTCACCCTGGCCCTCGTCCCTACATACATGTCTTTGACGAATGTAAGTAATCGGAACCCCTCTAAACTCTAGACACTTCCTCGAAACTTTGTCTTACGCCTTTTCCAGGTCATTAAACACCATATGTTATTCCCTCTTATTTGCCATATACTCTATCAGCTTCTCAGCTTCCTCATGAGATGAATGATCTCTATAGTTAGCTGGCCAAGCATGGAATCAAATTTATTCTCGGAAATGCACACCTTCTTTGACCCTGAGCGATACATTCTCGGACCTTCATAGTGTGACTAAGAAGTTTGATGCCTCTATAATTATTGCAACTCATGATATCACCTTTGCCCTTTTGCAACGGGTTCACCACACTCTCTTTACACTCATAAGGCATTTTAGTCGACCTAAAAATAACATTGAAGAACTTGATAATCCAAACCAAGCCATTGATGCCTACAATCTTCCAGAACTCCCTTGGAATCTCATCCGACCCCAAGGATCTCCCTTTTCTCTTCTTGTGAATGGCCCTCACCACCGCCTCCTAACTAATGCGCAGATAGTAATGAAAGGCTCGATGCCTCTCCTGCTGCATCTCACCTATATACTACCTCCATCCCAATATCCTAGAGTATTCGTCGAGTTTGACATTTTCGAGTCAAATTTGATAAACTTTGATAATTAATTAATCAAAAGTTGTATTGTATATCAGTACAAAAATAATTTCGTTAGATTTATTTTATAGAAAACTTTAAAAAATTCACTTCACTCTATTAATATATAACATAGATTTAATGTAATAGATGATTAAAGTTTGTTCAATTTGACTCGAAAAAGTCAAACTAGACGGATAGAGGGAGTAAATATACTTCCTCCATCCCAAAATAAAAGACAGATTTTATTCACGTGTAAGACTATATGTTCTTTCTTTGATAATTTGACCAAATAATATTGTCATGTCACTTCTTGTTTTATAGAATTTTTTATGTAGTTTTGAAATATACAAATATCAATTTTTATATATTTCTACACCAGTTTTCTAACAAACTTAATTGAAAACAAATTCAATCAACCATCCTAAACCGAATTGTTTCTTTTATTTTGGAACAGGAGTATATATTACAAATGTACATTATATTATAACAATAAATTAATACTCCGTATAATGTAACCACAAACAGAAATGAGTATCTAAGCAAAAGTGTAATCATAATGTAAGATAATAAGGAATTAAGTGTCAACAACAATTTAAAACACCACAAATAAAAAAAATATTTCAAGTAAAACTCCCATCTCCAGGCTCAATCACTACATGCAAGTTTAAAATAAAATACAAAATTAACACCAAGAGAGGGGCAGCTGGACTAGAGGGTAGAACGTGGGCAATAGAGGTTAGACTTGAATATACCATTACGTAAAAATAAACAAGCGATTCTAGTCCCCACAAAAAAATAGGTTTTAGATTTAATTAAACTTACCTGGAGTCCTGGATCAAAAGAAGACAACAGGTTGATGGGTGACAGAAGGCTGGGTGACCAGAGGGAAGAGGGAAGGCGACGGGCAAGGCGTGATAGCATGGAAGAACAACAACAGACGATCTTTGTCTTCGAACTTGGACGATGGGTGATTCTCTCTTTTCTCGAGTCAGAAGGGTTTAGAAGTGAAATAAAAAAAGCGTCTGGAAAGTTTTTTTTAAACGCTTTACAAATTAAAAATGGGCCTTATCGAGGAAAGTCGACCCGGTCATTGTTTAGGCAAACATGGACAATCAGGCAACCGACCCATTGCCTTAGTTTCTGCCTAATGGACAATTTGGTGACGACTTGATAACCATGCTCCCATTGAAGGTGTATATATTAAGCTTGAATTATTAAGATTTGTTTTGGAATGTAAGGGCTTTAAGTTAAACAAATGTAACCCAGACTCCCAGAGTCTGGATGTGAATTTAATGCACATTGAGCTATCAATGCAGGATGGACAAAGTGAATGAATAGAACAACAGCACCAACAAATCCAATATAATCCCAACTCCGTTGGGGTTTGGGAGTCAAGATGTGCACAACCACAACCTTATCCATGTAAAAAAAACAGAGATGTTCTGCACAAAGTGATTGAATGCATCCAGAATATTGTGATAGAAATTACCACCTGCTGGATTGGAAGTTCTATGTGATACCTATTAGATTTACCACATTGCTTGGAGTATTGGATGAAAGATGGGTGTGTGACATAACTAAGTAGCACATAAGCAAAGAATAAGGTGGTAAAGAGCAAAAGTAGTTGTCCCAGTTTAGGATAAGATGAGCAAAAGTAGTACTCTTGAGTCCCATTACCATCTGTTTGAAGCTACGAAGAATGAAGATATATAAATACAAGTATACAACATATTCACATAGAAGTAGATGAGAACCTAAGATGATTTCGACTAAGACAGTTAGAAGAGACTTCATGAGTATCGGGTTGGTTGAGGAAATGACTCTCACTATGAAGGGATGTTGTTGTTTGATCTAGGAAACATACCCCACCCACGGGAAATTCTTGATCTGTTTATTTTTTAGGGTGGAGAAAGAAAATGAAATTGTTGTTTTCATTCATTTGGAAGTCAAGAAGTTAGTTTTGGGAAAACAGACAATCCTCCATCCCCTCCTTCCCCAAATGAAGTTCACACTTTGACTTTCTAAATATGCCCCTCGATTGGTTGGTGAAATGACTGGTAAATTTTTTGTGTGGAAGTGACAACTCGTTAAGGAGTATTATTGTGTTTTCCAACCTATAAAATTACTTCCTCCTTCCTAGTCATATATCTTTCCTTCTATTTGACTTTTCTTGGTCAAACTCTATATACTTTTACTATGAAATGAGGAAATATTACATTGAATTACGGAGTATGATATGAACTTATTACCAATGAATTCATTTTGAAATGTTGGTTTTAAACTATCATATTTTTACAAGTTATATCCATGTAAAGATATTACTAGACATAGTGTTGCAGTCATATGGTAAGAAAGAAATAGAGCGGGGAGAGTACCAAATTTGGAACGTAGTTAGGGAATGGAGGGAGTAATTGGTTGTATGAAGGATTGAGTACATTATTGTAGCACATATAATAAGATGCACCGATGTAGTTAAACTTTAACCACATTTCATACATTCATCATACGGTTGTCTCATGTGAACGGATGTTATTGTTCAACGCATGATCTAAGTGTAAGGATGCTTTACTGGTTTTTTGTGCTTTTATGTTGTAAGTCACATTCCTGCTCGCCAACTAGATGGCATTTAGGGTGTGTTTGGGAGTGATTCTAGGAATGATTTTTCGGCTTTTGCTTTGGAGAAGCCGTGTAGTATGCTTGAGAGTGCTTGATTTCAGTTTTTTAGAGACAAAGAAGCAGAGGCTGAGAAGCACACCTGAGATGGTTTTAGATTCTGTTGCTAAAATAATCACTTAAAACAACAAGCAAACACAAACCTCTTAAAAGTGTAGAATTCTATATTTGCCTTTTATTAATACCTTCTTTGTAAGTACTCATAATTGTTTAACCTTTCAACTAATGCAGCGGGTGTGATTAAAATTTGCCGGGTGGGCTGAATGCACGGACGATGTTTGGATTTGTATCGTTCTATGGAGACACTTGCTACCAGCTAAGGTTATTTCTTGGACTCCTCCGTCTTGGCAAATCCGAGGAACGTTTTTCTTTGGTTTGAAGCTTATATGATGATATGATGCTTACGATAATTATCGAAATGTCATTTTGATTTGTTCTCCCCTGGCTAGATCTCTTTGCTTCGAAATACGGAAATTTTCAAGATTTGGTATGTTCTAAATGTTTTTTTATCTTGTTTTTAAGAATCTGAAATGTAATTGATCTCTCTGTTGTTTATATGCGTTGATCGGATATGTATTTTTTTTTATTAAAAAAATAAGGTAAGAATGCTTTTTGTTTCTAGTATCAACATTTGGTTTGATCACGTTTCAAGAAAAAACATTCTGTTTGATCTATAAGTTGTGCTATCGTGGTTCTAAATTCCACGTGTAATGTGGACTTCTCACATGTTTTTTATGGACACTTGGTTGGATCTCTCTTGTTTTACAAGGCCTAATAGATTAATTATTTATGTCTCATAATCTATAAAATAAGTATTGCTCTAAGAACCATAAAAGAAATTTTTTATTTATACTCTATGAGTCTATAATATTCCAAACAAACTAAACATTTTGGTCAACAATGTATACCATATTTTGAATTGATATTTTTTTTGAAAACCAATTGAATTTATTTTTCTATTGCTATAAAATCGAAGAAGTTAATGTATTGAAAACTATATCAACACTTATAGAATGAATGATATGACATACTCCACTAGTTATTATTTTATTATAATAAATTACTTAAAATAAGCATGATTTTATTAAGGCATAGTGTGTTTGGGGATAGAGAGATAAGTACTCATTCGGTTTCAATTTAAACTGCCTCTTTTGGTTTATGATGTTTGATTAAGTTATTTTTAGATTATTTTATATAAAACACGGTGTGGCTGCATTTTAAGATCACAATTACATGTGTTATTTTTGCTTTACATTACAAATTTAAAACTAGAATAAATAAGAAATTCTGAGAACATGTTGGCATAATAGTAAAAGCTCTTCCATCAGCGCAGAAATTTGTTGCGCGTGTATTCCCTCTGTGGCCCCGTCCTAATCTTAATTTCTTATTTGATTTTTCACGGTTTTCAATATAACATTTTGACTATTAATATCTTTATTTATACATAAATTTATATTTTAAAATTAAAATATTTTAAAACTATGTTTTAATACTCCCTCCGTCCCTGAGTATTTGTCCACTTTTGACTTTTTTTGGTCAAAATTAGTAAATTTTGACTTCAAATTAAATAAAAATGATATTAGATATTGATACAAAAACAGTTTTATTAGATTTATTAAATCAAATATTTTCAAAATATTTTTTTATTTAATTAAAATAAAATATATATTTTATTTAATTATAGGTCAAAGTTTGAAAATAGTTGACCGAAAAAAGTCAAACTGGAAAATACTCAGGGACAGAGGTAGTACTCCCTCTAGTTTTTCTTTTCCTTAAATATGTCCAAAAGTCAAAACAGACGATTTAAAATGGGACGGAGGGAGTATTAATTTATTGATACTTCGTACTCCCTCCGTCCCTGAGTGTTTGTCCACTTTCATTTGTGCACACCATCTAATGCACTTCTTTAATCCATTTTATCTTGTAATTTGTATATTAAAAAATTATAAAAATTATATATTAATAATCTATATGTTAAGACGAATCAAACAAGATCACACATGACTATTTTTAGGCTTACACATTGAGAAAATTTGTTAAGTCAAAGTGTTTAGATGAACAGTTCCAAAAGTCAAAAGTGGACAAACATTCAGGGACGGACCAAGTATTAAATTTATATGGAAATGAAATGTATTTTTTTGCCTAATTGCCCCTATTGGGTTGGTTACCTGATTGTCCGTGTTTGCCTAAACAACGACCAGATCAACTTGCCTCGATAAAGCACATTTTTATTACGGTCAAAATTAAATAAAGTTTGACCACAAAAGTCAAGGTGACAAATCAATTTTCGAATCAAGGGAGTAACTTTTTTATATTAAATGTAAACAGAGATTGGTGAGGGAATTTTTTCCTCAATGCTCTAAGGAAGTCACAACAAGATTCTTCATATTTAGTGTTTGAATTTTACTCTATGCTTAATAAATCAATAATATAAAATATAAAATTATACAAATATTATACTGATGGGTCTGGGAGCTATTAAAAAAATACAAAGTAAAAAGATGAATATTGCGAGCACATAATGTATTTTCTTATTTTATGTGGGTTGGATCGAATAGGGCCTTAAGCCTATTTATAATGGACCCGTGCTAACACTATATATTCGCATTAGGGTTTCTTCAGTCCCTTCCCTTCTAGTTTGCCGCAGAGTTTGTAGCTGCCATCTTCTTCTTCCTCCTCGTATCTTCTGCGGCCTAGCAATGGCGGAACAGGTCCTTCTCTCTTTCATTTAGTATCAGATACACACATTTTCGCCACCAATTTTGATTATAGTTTTGGAAAGATTTCATGGATTTGGATTGTTTTGCAGACTGAGAAGGCTTTCTTGAAGCAGCCCGGAGTTTTTCTCAGGTATGGTAGATGTCCTTATTCGAACACATCTTGAGATATCCCTATATGTTTTATTGACTGAAATGGTAAATCAAGCTTTTAAGTTAAAAGTTTCGATTTTTATTCTCGTGTGCAGCTCGAAGAAAACGGGTAAGGGTAAGAGGCCCGGAAAGGGAGGCAATCGTTTCTGGAAGAGCATTGGTTTGGGGTTTAAGACTCCTCGTGAGGCTATTGAAGGTTCGTATGGCTTCTTCCATCTTTCCATTTTGCTAAAACTTCTGTAGAATGTGAAAAGGTCTAATTCCTCCAGTATATTTGAAATTTGATGTGTGTATTTATTCATCTGTTTTTATATATTGCAACAAATCTATAGCAAATTTATCCAAATGTTATTCCAATAGAGAATGTTATCCTTAAGATTTCTATGCCTATGTTCTAAATAGTTGTCATATCTTTGATGTGAATCTATTTCAAAGATTTTTTTGTATGGATTCACCTGCATTTACCCTTTTTTTGCCCTCTACCGGATTGCGCAACAAAATCTAATGAGGTTATTCTCTTATCAGGGTATTTGTAATTCCATCTTAAAAAGATGACTGGTTGTGATCTATTTTTCTGTTTCTCCTTTTTAGGAACATACATTGATAAGAAATGTCCCTTCACTGGCAATGTTTCCATCAGAGGTCGTATTCTTGCTGGAACTTGCCACAGTGCAAAGATGAATAGAACAATCATTGTTCGTCGCAACTACCTTCACTTTGTGAAGAAATACCAGAGGTAATACCAACCTTGCGTTTAGTATTCATTCTCGTGTCTTTTTATTTCGTAACAAACTCGCTAATTCCATTTTCCATTACACTACTTACTGCAGGTATGAAAAGCGGCATTCGAACATTGCTGCACACATCTCACCTTGCTTCCGTGTGAAAGAGGGAGACCACGTTATCATTGGTCAATGCAGGTGAATATCTGAACCGTTATCACTGTTTGAGTTTGATTGGTTTTTCTTGTCAAATGCAATTACTGTTTGTTGTTTTGCATTGACAGGCCGTTATCCAAGACTGTGCGTTTCAATGTGTTGAAGGTGATTCCTGCTGGCTCCGCTAGTGGTGGAAAGAAGGCGTTCACTGGGATGTGAAATGTGGTATTTGTGCTAGGTCTAAAGCTTTCGAATTGCGATTATACTAGACTACTATCTTGCTTTTTTGTGTTTTTCTTTTTCATTCAATTGCTCTTGAACTCCTTGTTGTATGCCAAATTATAGAGGTTTTTGAAAGCAGTCCTCTGCCAGTGAACATTTGCATTTTCTCCATTGCATTGATTTTCCATGTTTGTGCCTTGATATATTTTTAACTTTTATGTTATCGTCCAAATAAATTAAATCAAAAATCATTTCATTTTAGCTATGTTAAGGGTCTGTGTTTGATACACGGAATTGGAATTAAATTGGGAGTTGAAATTTTATTGAATTGATTTTGAATGGGATTTAAATCTTCAATTCTAATTCATTTTTAGCACTAATTTCAAATCCATGTAATTTTGTACTACCAAACGATAGATTTGGAATTATATTCTATTGTTTGAGTTTTGTGTACCAAATGGAGCTCTAGGGTCTATTTGGTACACTGAATTTACATAAATTGAATTGAACTGAGAGTTAAATTTAATGGAATTTTGATTTGGATGGAATTGAATTTTCAATTTCAATTCATTTTTAGTACTATCAATTTCAAATTCACATATTTTTGTGTTACCAAAAAATAGAATTAAAATTGTTGTCTCTAATTTGAATTTCACAATTTGAATTTGCGTACCAAAGGGAGTCTAAGTGATTTAAAGTCTCCATTTTGGGGAGGGGAGATGTAATTGTTGGAAAAAGAGGTGTAAGGTATGGGACTTTAATTTTGGGACACCAGCAGTGGAGTGATCCCCTTGTAACATTCATCATCTATAATATTAATTCACTATTTATGTGTGTTTTTGTCTCTTTTAATATCACTTTCTCAAGTAAAATCTTGGGAGAAATACCTAATTAAGAATAATACATCCTAATAAAAAACATACAAATATAAAGAGTAGGTTTTACATTTGTACTCAGTACAAATTTCATGTTTTTTCTTTTTACAAAAAAAAATCACTTTCCAGTTCAAGAAAAATGGAAAATAATGTGGCTAAGAATTGTTTTTTTCTTAACAAATTTTAATTGCATATTTTTCGTTTTTAAACATTTTTAACTTCAGTTTTAAATTTTGTGGGAGTCCAGCCTTTTTTTTTTGGAAAAACAAAGGGTGTACAATGGATGCAGTACTCGATAAATACTACTTTTTTTTTACCGCGGTTTTATTCTGTATTTACTCCTTAAAAGCATGAAACATAAATCACAAATTCAAGTGTTATATCAATGTTAAACACTTCGATTCTACTCCGTCCCACCAAAAAGTTTCTATTTTGATGTATTTTGGTTAAATGATTATATGCTTTGACCATAAATTAAATATAATCTAAATAAAGAAATGCTACATAAAATTGAGATATCAAAACTAGATCATAAGATGAATCCAATTATATTAAGTTTATTTTATACGGAGTAATTCAATTTACCTTTCTCACAATTTGTAGTTAAATCGTGTAAATAGTTGACTAAATACTATTCAAAATGAGATTTTTTTTGTGGGACGGAGGAAGTATAACACAAAAAATGAAAATTTATGTTTTTTGTTCATTTTTGTTTTTTTAAGGGAAACCAATCAAGTGTCAAAAATGCAATTGAACATTCTTTAGTAGGAAAATGCTTAGAATGAAAACCATAAACACACGAAAGATGAAGATAATAAAAATGAACGTTCTTTATTTTGGAGAAAAATGAACCATGATAAAATTTTACAAAAATCCACATCATCTACATACATCCGGATATAAGATACAATCGGGAGGGCAATGAAATACTTTATTGAATACATTTGAGGTTCGTCTAAGAATGATTGACGGTATACACGAAAACGAAAAAGGCGACTAACGAAAGTATATGGGCAATCACATTATAGAGAGCTACAAGAACATGATTGAACATCTTCTCAGAAAGGGTTAGTCTTACAACACTTTTTTTTTAAAACAAATCTCACAACATTCATATTTTTCACTTTTATATGTATATATTTTTTGCAAAACCCACCGTAGTATTGAAAATTACGAACTCAGAGGTCGTCATCCTATATTGTATCAATTTTCGTTCGATTGGATGAAGTACAAAATGATCCTGGATTTTTGTGACACTTTAGGATGACGATCTATGAATTCACAACTTTCAATCCTATGGTGGCTTTTGCAAAAATTAATCAGATTGTAAGATATGAATGTTGTAAGATTTATTGTACAAAAAATTGTCGTACGATTAACCCTCATCATTTATATATATACCCTCTCACATAATAGTTGGCTTACGAACCCCAGTTGGGAATATTAGCAGTGGCTTCATTTACCATCTTCACCAGTGTCACCTGTGATGTTTAAAGATTACTTGTTAAGATTTAACTGGTGGATAAAAGAGGTAAAAAAAATCACATGCTTGTGCAAAACAAACCAAGTGATGGTGTTGATTAAATATTGGACAGTAAAGTGAAAGGTAAGGATAACTCAAATATGCATAATAGCGATTTTCTTTTTGGACTTTTTGCTTCGGATAAATAATAGACTAATTCAATTCGACACATTTAACTTCTCTTTCTTTTTTAGCTTCTATGAAGTTTTAGGCATTCAGTGCAAGCAATGCATCAAGGGGGTAGCGAAGAAAAGTACTATTTGAATGGATGGGTTCAGGCTTATGCATTCAAAACCCGGCCCGGGCTGTAAACGTCTGGTTAAAGTAACTAATGTTGGGTTAAACTTTGGCTAGATTTCTACCTATTGAACATATTCTCTGTTTTAGAAATCCATGAAGCCAGTAAGCCACAAAAAACTTTAAAAAAAATCATAATAGTTAGAATACGAGAGAAACTTCGCTCATTAGCATGAAGTAGTGCAGATAGCCCTAACTAGAACAATGAGAACAGGTACAGCCACTGCAAAAATAAAAAAGATAGACGAGAGAATTTTGAGGTCATAAGATCATACCACACTCTCTGGAACACCGGGTGGTGGAAGCGTGAGATTTCTCGGAGGCCATACATTAGTATATGATCTCTTGTCAAATCTCCACTCTCCAATTTTCCCATAGGTCAACTTTCCCTGATGAACACGTTCTTATCATCAAATCGTATCTTCGAAATTCAAATTTTCATCATATCACATTAATAGAAATGTGGAGTCGGATCTAAAGGGATACCTTCATGTCATAGTCACATCCATAAGTGAAATGAATTATGTATGCCTTGCCAATTTCTGTATCAAAGGGAGGCTAGAAAAGTGCAGGTTTAGATTACGAATAAAAAGATGAACGAGAAGTTTTCTAGCATAATTGCACAAATTTTGCTGTCCAGTAAGAATGAACTGATGATGAAAAATCCTTGGGGTGGCAAAGCCACTAGACAAGAAAACCTCTCCAAATATGGACAAATACTCTCAAACGGCTATCTCTCATGTCCACAATTGAAGCTACTCTTTATCTCTTATCACCTAGTTCCTATGTTCTTCCTAGTTTTCGCTACATGTCTAAACCAACATTTTCACTTACGTCACTGACATTTTGTAAACATGTTGATAATGGACTCGACTTTTAATACAATACTAAAGGAAAAAAGGATTTTATAATTGAGATCGGTAAGGTGAATGCGTGAGATATAGGGTCGCTAAAGAATTTCGAAGAAAATCAAACACAGACCCGTGCATGGATAGAACTTAGAAGAAGAGTGGGTACCTGAATCATGAACTCTTTGTATAAGATGTTGCCCACATTATGCAATGCAGATGAAACAGCATATGCATACCTGTACATGGAGAAGATACGCAGTGCATAAGGGAAAAAAGGTCATTTATCTTCCCATCCTACATGACTACAAGAGGAAGGAAATCTTTTCTGGAGGATGAAAAGGGGTGGATTACATCTCAAGTACCCAGCCAAAAGCTTTATCAGCTTCAGGGTCTTTCTTCATTGCCAACGAAACATTCATCCATGTTGGAGCTATCTTTTTTAGAAGATCCTGAAAAACATATAACTTCAATAAGACTTTTACTTAAAAGAAAAAAGGGAAAGATTGATTATAACCCAAAAATGAAGGGGGTGATTACGGGTACCTTCTCAATAATGACAGGGGAATTTCCAATTGGATCAACGTCAGTTATTGGTCCCTTCTCTGCAGGGAAGAACTTCCTAAGAACAGATTCAAACTTTTTTGGTTCTATGTAAAAAAAAGGGAATGCAGCTCCAAGGCCAGTTCTGGATAAATTCGGGATGGGCTTGACAATGACATGATCTGGTTCTGCCATTAGTATGTAGCTGCATTAACGGAAAGGGAATGTAGGAGACTCAATATCAATCTGCACAAAGAATTATAATGCAATTAAGAGGAAGCTTTTGATATGAATACATGTTTATAGTTCATACTCTTCTTCTATATTTGCTTGTTGAAGCCATTGCACAAATGCCCAGGGTCTGTTAAGGACTATATAGCCCTGAAATGCATGATATCGAAAAGATTACTTAGTTGCATAGTTGGAGCACTTCCAATAGAAAAATTGAACCCACTAAAGGATGCTATGTGGCAGTGGCACTGACATCAAAACATATAAAACTGCAAGATTCTTCTTATATACCATATGCTCATGCAACTTCTAAGATGCAGTTGACAACCGTTCTTGGTCACTTAGGCCAAATTTTTGTTCTATTTGATAAAGGAGCGTGTGTTAGTTATTATCTTAAATTAAGAGAATTATATAGATAAATAACCAGGAGATTAAGCTTTAAACTGCCTTACTCTTAAACAATTTATACTACCTCTATCTCATTCTATAAGTTTAATGTTCATATTAGATGGGCATCAAGTAATCAAATCATATGTGATCAATTTTCTCAATTTTACCCCTGTAGTCCGGTACAAAGCTTAAAAAGTTCTGCAGATGTGGTCATATGTCAAATCATAAAAGAGAAAATTGATCATCTAACTTAAATCCCACAACAATGCAAAGAAAGCAACTTTTTTCCCTTTTCTTAAGAAAATAAGTATGTAATATTGTAATTAACACGGTTAGTTAAATTTCAATGAGTTGAACCCTTCTAATTTGTACTCCTCTGATCGCATTTTATCGTGCCTATTTGGACTGACCATAGAGATTACGGAGTAAATATGGCGTGGTTGAGATTTATGCATTGACAGAGAACAACGGTATGGATTACACCCTATGTGGAATCTTGAGTTTGACTACCCTTACATAATACTTTCTAAAAGTAGAGGCGCCATAAATTGGGACAGACAAAAACGGAAAGCAAATAAATTAGGACAGACGAAAATGGAAAACACATAAATTAGGACAAACGAAAATGGAAAACACATAAATTAGGACAGAAGCACATTTCTGTATGACCCAATTCAGCTATACTAAATGAACTTCTCAAACAACCCAACTACATTTTAAAAAAGAAAGTCTCTTTAAGGTCATTTTATCCCACGAAAAGAAAGCAGTGATTTTATAGTAATAAACTGTGTATAAGCATGTAAATATTGAAAATGGGTGAGGAAAAAAAGGACTAGAGCAGCCCCTTTTGGAATACTACTAATAAAACAGATAAACAAAACTATACTCCATATAAAGACATATAAATTGGAAGAAACCAAAAAGGAAAACAAACGTGATTAATTAGTACACACAAAAATACATTTGTGTAGGACTCAATTCCAGGTATACTACATAAAAAGGTTCTACATTTCCATTTTTATTTGTCCCAAAAAGTTCAAGTTCCCTTCCATTTTGAGAAAATAAACATTTTTGTTAATGTTTTGGATAAAATTTTAATGGTGTAGATTACTTTGAAAAAGCAACGCTCGTAGTAGATAGCCTTTTCAAAATGCTAAGCATAATCTCTAAAGCTATTCCCAAACAGACCCGTAGGAAAGTGTGAATTTATCAAACTCACCAGTAAAACAGTGAAGAAAGAAAGATTCAATTTTTTTATACCTGGTCCATCCCAGATGGAAGGGGTTGGGCAACAAAAGTAGGGATCTCATCCATGAACCTGTCAGGATTCCCGGAGTGCAAGATCCTGGTGAACCCACCCATCTCAGAACCAGGCCCATCCTTGAACTTGTTGAACCAGTAATACATGATCCTGCACTGCCAGGTGTTGTAGACCGAGTCAGAGGAAGTGACCGCCGTGTGGAACAGCCTCTTCTTCTTCTTCTTCTCCGCCGATTCCCCGTCAGCCGGCATCTTGATCACCGGGTCATTGGAACTCCTGAATTTTCTCCCGAAATTTGTAGGGCTTGGGAAATCTGGGTTCAGAGAGGTGTTGACTGATACGAGGATGTTGTAGGTGATGAGCGCCGCCGAGAAGATGATCACTGTTGTGAAGAACAGATTGGCACACCCCATTTCTCTCTGCTTCTCTGTCTCTTTCTGGCTTCTTCTTTCTTCTCTGGTTCGAACGGACATTAATTATACTCCATTGTTTAGCAGTAATTTAAAAGAGAGAGCATCCTTTACCTTCAAGGCTTCAGCTGAGTATTCTTTAGGTTTAGTTTAGGAACAAAATTTACCCTCACCCATTTATACTCTCCCTGTCACCACTTACATGCCTCCTAAAAATGAGTTGTATGGAACTAATGGAAGCAAGGGTGAGAAAAAACTCTGGTATATAAAAATAAAAGATAAAATATTCATATTTGAAAATTACGCTAAAAATATACCTCCTTCGGTTTTAAAAAATCTTCTTGTTTTGTTTTTTAACAAACACTGACAGTCTTTGATCATGAATTATGAGAAATATATATTGAACCATAATATAAATTCAATGTAATTAAGTTTATCTTAGATTATAGTTTTGATACATCAAATTTTTATAATATTTATTTACTCCGTATTTAGATTATGTTTAATTTATGATTAAATATTGTCACTGTTTGACTAAAAAATCAAAACAAGAAGAATTTTTATGAACAAGGGAGTACAAAACAAACGATAATAAGAATTTTTTATATTGCCAAATAATTAATAATAACACATAAATAAATAAAAATTGTCATGGTTTTAGATTAATAGTGTTTCTTCGCTCCAAAATAAAATTTTCATATTCTTTTTTATTCTAAAATAAACATCTCGTTTCTTTTAAAATAAGTAATACTTCTTCTGTCCGCTATAAATCTTCTCAATTGATCTTTTGAAGTTTCAATGAGAATTGAAAAAGTGAAAGTTTATTAAAATATCTTAATGAAAGTGGGTAGAGTATATTAAATGAGACGAGTGAGATGTAATATATAAATGGGTATAATAATATTTTAAATGTTAAAAAAATGTAATGAAAAGAGAGGTTCTACCAGTTTGTAGTTAGACCAATACTCTAGTCTGGTGTACTAAGGGTTAAGATGACCTGTGTTTGTCAATTGCATGCTACAGATATGTGAATACTTTGGTAGATGACTGGACATAATAAATTGGACAAAATTTAGAACAACGTTAACTGAGGACGAGTAGAAGTGACACCCGTTGAGCATAAGTTATATGAAGCTACGTTGGGGTAGTTTTGGGAATGTGAAACAACAGAGTGTTGATGACATTCGTGCGGAGATGTGAAATGGTTACAAATGTTACGATGGGAGGCAAAAGTAGGGGTTGTCGTAGACTCAAGAAAATTTGATAGGAGGTGGACATGATCTACGACTTCTAATCTTTATAAAAGATATGATCTCATATAAGAGTGTCTTAAAAAAAAGGTCTGAGCCTCCGAGGTGGTCATGTAGGCTTCTAGGTTCGGTGGTTATTTATGCATCTATCATTTTGGAGTATCTTTTTGGTGCACCTTGGGTGCATATTAATTTTGTAGATTTTCTTACATAAAAAAATCTTAAAAAAACAAATACTTATTTAAGTAGTAAAAAATACTTATTTTATTCAAATGTAGATTTATGGTTGACTTTAGGTCCACCGTAAAATTTACCATCATTTTGTACTTTCTTTCTTTTCTTTGTTTGATGTTTTCTCTTGTATTTTTATTTTCTAACCTATGTTTGCTCTTTGCTACTTTTTATGTTACATGCCTATGTAATTCGAGCGGGATATCTCATGAAAAATAAATTATTTACGTACTTCAACAGTGATTAAATCTACATACACATACTTTTCTCAGACTCTATTCTTTTTGAATCCAACTCATTCTTTGCTGGATCTTTCTTTTTCATCCGTATCACTTTCAATTATTTAGTTTCGCATTTTGTAAACTTAATGTCAAATTTAATTATAGTTTTTTTTTAAACCGAGTATAGACTAATGGTTTGAATCATTCCTAGACATCATGGTCCCAAATTCCTAGACATAATGCTACAAAATACTTATCAAAATAAAACTTTCAGAGTACTTATCAAAAAAATATATATAATTTTCAACAAAAAATGAAAATATTATACGAAGGGCAATATAATCTCTCTCATCTTCAATAGTTCTATGATGAAGGGGGCAAAAATGGGAGACAGAAGAAACGAGGAAACGAAAAGGAAACGAACAGAATGGCCAGCCATTAAACCCAAGTCCAATCTCCAGGTCTCTCGTCTCAAAGGGAACGATCTCCTTACTGTAAGCCTACCTTCTACCTTACTTTTTTTTGTGTTTCGATTTTCGGGTGAAGTTTTTTGCTTTCGGATCGAGAGGGATTGATGATTGCGTTCAACTATTTGATATAAAATTTCCAATCAGATCGATATTCTGCTAAAATTTCCGCTATGATTGGAATTTAGGCATAAGTTCATCAATTTGAACTTCTGTTATTTTGCAGATTTAGGATAATTAAATCAGAATATTTATTAAAAATTATATGGATTAAAGATAAATGAAAAAAAAAAAGAGAATTCAAGTTATTTTCTCCATTGAGTTTTACTTTTTTTATTCTATGATTTAACTGGGTACTATGGTTCTGTTCAGCACCAAGCTTTTAACTGTTAGGTATTTGTGTCCGCAGTTCAGGTAGATGTTTGTGTCATTGTAAAAAAGTTGTTTGGTAAGATGATCCATTTGTATAAGTTGTTTGAGGTTCTTAATCTAGAAAGTTTTAGACGGAAGAAGTAATTCCTAAAAAAGCTCGAGAAACAAGCATTTTGTAATCCAACTTGTTTGGACAAAAAAATTGTCCCGAAAAAGTTTTTTCCAAGCACTTCCAATAACCTTTTGAACATTCTTTTTGTTGGAATATAAAAAGCCTTTCCTGGGCTACAAGTCTACAACTAGAAGTTTGAGCTTTTTGTTGAGTTGGTTCCTTGACACAATGACATGGTATCAAAGCCTAGCTGACTAAGAAGTTTCACGTTCGAAACTCAACGCTACCCAATTTTAAACATTTAAGATTTCACGTGGATGGCTAAAAAAGATCACGCCTGCACGTGAGGAGGTGTGTTAGTATATAAAAAATCTTTCCTTGGCCACAACCAAAAGCTTGAGCTTTTTTTCTTTTTGTGTTGCAATTTGTGGTTGAAGTTTTTAGCTTTAGGATCGAGAGGGGGATTGATGATTGCGTTCAACTATTTGATATAATTTTTTCCATCAGATCGATAATTCTGCTAAAATCTCTGCTATGAATGGAATTTAGGCATAAGTACTACGGAATACTTCACATCATTGACCATATTCTTCTGTTTCATTTAGTCATTTTAGGTGTTCATCAATTTGAACTTTTGTTACCTTGCAGATTTAGAATAAATAAAATAAAATATTTATAAACAATTATATGGGTAAAAGATAAATGAAAAAAAAAGCGAATTCAAGTTATTTTCTCCATTGAGTTTTACTTTTTTTATTCTATGATTTAACTGGGTACTATGGTTCTGTTTAGCACCAAACTTTTAACTGTTAGGTATTTGTGTCCGCAGTTCAGGTAGATGTTTGTGTCATTGTAAAAAAGTTGTTTGGTAAGATGATCCGTTTGTATAAGTTGTTTGAGGTTCTTAATCTAGAAAGTTTTAAACGTTTAAGATTTCACGTGGAAGGTTATAAAAGACCATGCCTGCACGTGAGGGGGTGTGTTAGAATATAAAAAATCTTTCCTTGGCCACAACCACAAGTTTGAGCTTTTGGTTGAGTTGGTCCCTTGACACATTTACCCAATAAAAACTCTTTGATAAAAAGCTTCTCAATCTATCTTTTCCAAACACCCCTTTATCATATTTTTAGAACTTCATCTCACTTCAAAACTTCCCCTGCTTTCGACATTTAGGTGCAAAATTACTTGACTTCTGCTGAAGCAAAAGCATTCATTGAAGCAGCAGAATCAGTTGGGTTTGTTCACCAAGGGAGCCTTGGCCCAACAAAGGGTGAAGCCTATAGAGATAATGATCGTATCTCTATAAATGATCCTGATCTTGCTGATGCAATATGGAAAGCAGGGATTGACAAACTCTTTTGTGCTATTAGAATTTGTGGCAGAGTTGCTGTTGGATTAAACCCAAACATCAGATTTTACAGGTCAGCAGATATTCCTCTTCCAGTCAGCACTTTGCTATTATCGGTTATAGGCATAGTGAAATGTGTCCTCTATAAACTTTGGAGTGTGGACATATTTACTTGAAATTTGTATGATGAAAATACAGATCAGTTGTTGAATTTAGATAATTGCAATAACTCAACAATATATGTTGCATATACAAATAACTCATTGCCCAATTTGCTTTCACATTGCCTATATGTTGCGCACCCATTATTAATGGACTTAAAAACGTCATTATTGACAATGTTTTAGCTTCCGTTAAATAATGGATTTAATCAAAACGGCACATTAGACTTCGCTTCTTAATTTCTATGAATTTTTCAGTAGTAAATAATGAAAAATGTCTGGATTTGAAAGGTTAGGCTGCGCACATGGAGTTTGGATTAGACTGAGTTTTAGTTGTTCTTGGTATTGTCCTTTAGTGTTAACATGTCACGAAAACCACCATGGATTTGTTGGAATTTAGACACCGTATATGGATAATTAAATTTCACAATTTCACCTACTAGGTACAAGGCTGGGCAGCGTTTTGGACGTCATATTGATGAAAGTGTTGATCTCGGTGAAGGTCAATTCACACACTATACATTGTTAGTGTATCTAAGCGGAAGAGGCTTCAAATCCAAAGCTAAGGTGGATAAGAATGCTCAGGATTCTCTGACAGAGCCTCTTGTTGGAGGAGAGACTGTATTTTATGGTCCTAGAAATTCTCTGGTCGCCGAGGTATGAGTACCCCGATATCACTCTTTTTGGTTCTTAATTTTCATGTCTGGTAGACGAGTAACGAAAGTTTTTCAAATAATTAAAGAGCTCATTTATACTATACACATGCATCAGTTTCTTGCAGCTAATGTCTTCTTATGTGACTACATGCCGATTTTTTTGCAGGTTCCTCCTTGTGAAGGAATGGCTCTCTTTCATATCCATGGGGATAAATGTATGCTGCACGAAGCTCGGAATGTCAGTAAGGGTGTCAAATATGTGTTGCGAACGGATGTTGTGTTTGCTTGATCCCATGTAAGCACTCTCTAGCCCCCCCTCCCACCCCGCACCCCCTTATTCGACAACGTTATATATCTCTGCAATTTATGTTCTCAAGTACTAGCTAGATAAGTAACCTTATGGCTTTCAGATTTTGTTAATAATATTCACTCTTTTAGGGGCAGATTGAATGAATCCGAACTGATTGTAGTGTAATTTTGAACTAAGCTGTAGTGAACTGAATTTAAGAGTACTGAAATTAATTAAGTCCAATTGAACGGCCCCTTATGTAAGACACATTATCTAAACTGGCTGAAATAATTCTCTTACCCAAACTTAGGCAGCATTCTGTTCCACTTATTTTTTCTACTTATTACGTATTCAGTATTCTTATTATAAGTAGAGCAGACCAGACCACATCAGACCCGACTAGATCAGATCAGAAACAACTTTAATTATAAATGCAATCAGATTAGACCAGATCAGATTTTCACAAAATGAGATCAAATCAGGCGAACGGAACTCAATCTTATCTGCAAGAAGTAGAACATGGCTGAAGTGGAACTTTTGTGAATCAAATAAGAGTGTAAACAGGCGTTAATCGAATCGGATGTGCCATTATCACATCCGTATCCTTTTATTTTTTTCGGATACATATCTTGGCGGATGCTAAAAAATAAAACTGTATTTGTATCCGTCAGATTTCGGATATATCAGTGTCTGTTTCCAAACTTTAAAAGTCAAATGAAACTATATTCGTAGAAGAATATATAAATACTTTTAATATATTCACTCAATTAAATTTTGTCACGCAATATTAGTAGTATTTTTCATTTCAATCTCTCTTTGAAAATAATTCTATGTTTTTTCTTTGCATAGCGACAATTGGAACTACTTGAAAATGTCTTTTTTAAGAGACGAAAAAACAGAAAGAGAAAAATAGACAGATAACCTCATAGTCTTCTTTACTCAAATTAACATTTTTTTACTTTTGTCACGATGTTTTTTTTAATAAAACATAAACAACAGTTACTATTAGGTTTTGGGTACCCTTGGTTTGAGATAAGAACTCTCAGGCTTCATTATTTTTAAAAATAACTCCGGGTACCTTATTATATCGAAAAATGAATTCCAGAGGGGCTTTGTCAATTCCTCCGACATATTCATTTGCACGGTTATCTTTTCATCATTTTTCTCAAAAATTGATCCTTGGCACCCAAATTTTGTAGAAAAAACATCCCGGTGGACCAGATCTTATCTTTTTTAAAAATATATATTTCGAGGTTACCTAAAATTTCCAAAATCATACTCTGGAAAGACTTTCCCTTTTTTCTTCTTCTTTTATTATTATTATTATTATTATTATTATTATTATTATTATTATTATTATTATTATTATTATTATTATTATCATCATCACTATTGTTGTTATTATTATAATTACTATTACTATTATTATAACTATCACTATTGTTGGCTATAATGCATAATAGCCACACATTTTGTGGGGGGTTACGGCGGAGTTGTGGTGGGGGTGCAGGGGTGGGGGTATGGTGGAGGATTTAGGGGGTGGGTTAGGGGGGGTAGGAACCGTCAATTTTACGAACGGAGCACCGAAAGTGCCTCAAAAACCCAGTGGCACCGCTAGTGACACCGTTCTCCGGCGTCACTGGAACCGGACCGTTATAATTATTACTATTACTAATATTATTAGTAGAATCCATGTGGCGACAATCTAGCTTGACCCAATAGGCAAAAGCGGTGAATAGTGACAATCTGATGACAACTATAAAATGCAATGACAAAGTGAGTAATAATAATAATGATGGTAATAATAATAATAATAATAATAATAATAATAATAATAATAATATAATAAAAATAAAAATAAAAACAATAAAAAAAGAAGAATGAAAAAAGGAAAGTTCTTTTAGTGTAGATTTTTTGGATATTTTAAGGTACCTCGAAATATATTTTTAAAAAGATGAGACGGGAAGGTTCTTTCTACTGTACAATATTGGGGGTGCCTAACAACAATTTTTTGGGAAGAAAATGATGAAAAGATAATGACACAAATTATTACAACAAAGAGATGGAAGGAAAGTCCCTCCGAAGTATTAGTTGTCATATATTTTAAGCTACCCCAGAGTTATTTTAAAAACGATGGAAATTCGGAGTTCTTATCACAAAAACGAGAGTATTTAATAGTAATTTTTTTAAAAATTAAATTACGTACTCCGCATTTAAGATTTACTCAAGTTAACATTTTTTTTATTACACTGAGTATTTTTTATAGAACAAACCGAAGGAAAACTGATAAGTTTAGTTTTTTGAATATCATCTTTACCGTAACTAATCCGCCAATTCTTCCGGCCACTAATTCACTCAAAAATATAACCGCCATAGATTAATTTAAAATTATTCTTTAAACATGGTAAAATGGAGGAAATAAAAATCATAATCTTCTTCTTCTTCTCCCTCTTTTATCTGACCATAAATCCATAATTACCCCACGGTAAATTAATCCTATATATGCTTTTCTAGTAAAAAATGGATGAAAATAATGAGCCGCAAGTTGATACCCCGAGGAAGGGCAGGCACAGAAAATCGTCGTCGTCGTTGAGCATTTCCGCCCTGTTTCACGGCCACCTTCACCGGCGGCACGACCTCATCGAGCCGTCGTCGCCGTTATCCCCGGATCGAAGCCCGAGAGTGAACCCGTCGAGATGGATAGGGTCGAAACACCACCACCACCACCACAACAGCAACAATCAATCGCCGGAGATCCGAGGGAGATGCGGGAACATCGCCGCCGGAATCGGGCGGCATCGGCGCCGCCACACGTCAGATCTCACCTACGACCCTCTCAGCTACGCTCATAACTTCGAGAGCGACGACGATTCGCCGCTGAAGAATAGCTTCACTGCACGGCTGAGAGCAGGGGAGGGAGCGACGCAGCGGGCGGCGGCGTCGGAAACAAGCGCAGATGATCCGAATCCGCCGCCTGGCAATACGGATGGGAAAAAGACGAGGAGAAAAAGCTTCGATCTGAATGATCTGATGACCGTGGCTAAAGGCCTAGAGGAACTGGAAGCAATACAAAACGCAGGAGATAATAATCCTCTGGAGATGAGATCTATGGCGACCATTCTGGAAGAAGCGCCGCAGACGGCCGGTAGATTATGAAAACACGGCCGCCGCAGCCGTGCCGGATAAATTTATAACATTGTCTTAACTTAAATAGCACTAAAATTTAATGACTTTTCCTAAATAGCATTACATGTGTTTTTTTTCCAATGTAGCAACTTTTAGTTATTATGCATTAGTCATTATTCAAGTAAATATTCGCAATCAGTGGTCATTATGGACATTATTAAGTGCTATTTAAGGAATAAAATAGTTTAAGTGCTATTTAGGAAAATGACTTAAGTTTTAGTGCTATTTAGTGCAAATATTTCTAAATTAAACTGTACTGATAGTTTTGGTCTTCAGGAAAAAATTACTACTCCATCGGTCCCTAAATAAAGTTTCTCTTTCGTTTTTTCTTTATCCCTAAATAAACTTCTCTTTTCCCTTAAAAAACCCTTTTTACCCCTTACTTTTTCATACCCTACCTATCACATCATACCTTTTTACTAATAATCTACCTATTACATCTTACTTTTACACATCACATCAAGGGTATTTTTGGAAAATCAACACAAAAATATTCCTCCCTTAAATCCTCAAAAAGTCAAAAATGGAACTTTATTTAGGGACGGAGAGAGTAGTATTTAAAAGACAATCGATGCACAAGGATTATAGTTTGCATTTTTAAAATCAATATACACCGTTAAAATTTTATCTAAAACACGCTAACGCTAATCATTAACGCTATTTCCAAACAGGCATAATGTTACTAATTTCACAAAATATGGTGATTTTGTGTGTACATTCCAGGCCCAGGATAGCTTTGTTGAAGGACAAAATAATATTAGAACCATGCTAGAGTGCCACCACATGGGTGCACCCATGCTTCGCACAAACAAGTACAGACGATAATTGTCTGTGTCGCACAGACAATTATCGTCTGTGTTTGTTTGTGCGAAGCATGAGTGCACCTATGGTAGCATCCATGTAGTGGCACCCTAGCATTTTCCATAATATTATATGGTGGAGGTGCAACTTAAAGGGTCCATTAAAAAACAAAAAAACATATAGTATCTATATACGGAGTTTAATATTATACGTAGTATATCATGCATATTGTCATTCTCTTAAATTCTAAACTCACACTCTTTAATTTCAAATTGTCAACTTAAAAATTGATCATGCATAATTTAAACATAAAACACACGGAGTATGACATTAGGTGACAGTGTGAAATAGGAGTGTACCCCGGTCCGGATCGAAATTCAAAAAACCGGAAAATCAGAATCACCTAAAGTATATGATCGGAAACCAAACATGTTAGGTTTTGGTGTGGACGGCCGGTCCGACCTATTTTTTCCGGCCTGGTCTGAGTAAAAATCGGAAAACAAGATTTTATTTTTAAAATTTTTTGTCCAAATCTTTAAACTTGTTTTTCAACAACGTAGTTTTATTTGAATTGATTCCAACCTTACTCTTAATTTTTATATTCATTGGGTGTGTTTCGAGAAACTATGATAATTTAAAATATTTTAATCAACAATATGATAAGTTTAAAATAGGTTTTATACTTCCGTTGGTTTGTGGGATTTCAAAATTATTATAAACTTGTTCGTTAAATTATTTCATTTTTTTACAAAAATAAGTCAATTTTCATATTATCTAATACTCTAAATTTAAACATTATACTTCAATTTTTTGGGAATAATTTTTGTTTTTAATAATTGTGGAGATTTTTGGGTAAAAGTCAATGATTGTAATTATAAAAAGTAATGAAAATGAATTAAAATATACATATTGCATTTGAAATATTATACTCCGTATTAAAGTAAGAAGAAGAAAATAAAAATACAAAGTTGTGCTCCTTCCGCCCCAATTTAAATCACCTTTTTGGTTTACGATGTTTCACCGAAGTTAATTTCAAATCATTTCATATGAAAAACGGCATAGAATTAAAAAATAAAATTATATATTTAAAAACTATATCAAAAGATCTTCAAAACTAGTGATGACATAACTATATTATTTTATCAAATGACTAACGAATATAAAGGAACAACTTTGATAAAGTTTGACTCTAGGAATAGTAAGTGTTCAATTTAATTTAGAACGGAGGGAGTACTTATAATCACATAATCCGTATTATAGGTATTAAAAATAAAATAATAAAATAATTACATTCTGGCCTTCATGGTCTGACCCGAAAACTATCTGGTCTTAGACATGAATGGACAAGAATTTTACTAGTTTTTAGTTTTTAGACCTAAGACCGGTCCTGAATTTTACCGCTCTAGCATGGAGCTGATTTTTCCAGTCTAGTCCGGTTTTCCAGTCCAACCCCGATTTTGTACCCCCTATTTGAAACTACTAGAATCTTAGACATTAAGATAGCAATGTTAGATAATTCTAAAAGAGTTTACAAATAGAAAAAACAAATCATATGAAATTCTAAACACGCAAAAAGAAACAATTCTCATAGAAAATGTGAAATGAAAAAGAAAACCAAATTCAAATTTCTTACTATATACTCTGTATATACTCTTTTTAAAAATACGTACTTTTACAAAAAGTTTTATAGAGAAGTGCACTAGACTTATAAAGTTGAGCAATAATTCAATAAAAATTATAGTCCATATTATTTATTCAATGTGGAGCATAAAAATGACTTTTTAAGATTTGTTTTCCAAAAAAATTATTCTATTATTACGGAGTAGTATGTAATGCAATTTTTATTTAATTGATAATTAATGTTTATAACTTTGGTTGGAAAAAAATCAAAATGGACAAATATTTTAAGTTTGAAAATATATTTAGTAAAATATGAACAAATTCACTCTTTTGCCACCAAGTAAAATTTACTCCATTTTTCATTTGACTAAAAATAAATTTATTACTCCTATTTCTTTTCATTCTAAAATAAATTTATCATTTATTTTCATTCGCAGGCGCACTCAAATCACTAGTGCCTGAATTACAAAATCATAGCACGAGCACTAAAATATGCCAAATGGTCTTAGAGCGCTCCAAGCGCCAGCTCAAAGATCTTTAAGCGCCACTCCCTCTTCTTCTTTTTTTGTGTAAAGAATAATTGTGTTGCGACAAACGTACCCTCTCTGAAGTTAATAACAAGCCTATAATTTTTCTCCTTGCATGGTCTCATAATTATGGTCTAAAAACTTGTTGCCACTATTGTGCGCACAATCTCAATAAGATGTTTATTTGGATCAATATTGAAAGGTTATTCCTTAGTCTACAGTGGAGAGGTGCATAATTTTAAAAAATTAATGAGCTGCAAAACTAAATTGATGCATTGATGATTTAGAAGCTATTGAAATTTAAAAATTAAATTTATATATCTAAGAACTACATAAAAGAATTCCAAAGCAAGATGTAACAACATTATTTTATTTTATTAGATGAGTTATAAAATAAAAGAAGTAAATTGATTACACTTCTTCCATAAATAGTGAAGTGTATGGATTAATTTTACACTGTTTATTCACATCCCATTCGATTATATTTTACTATGATTTGTATATGAAGATAAAAATAATCACACGCATTGTTAGGTTCATCTCAATATAAGCATTCATAACATGAACTTCTCATAATTTTAACAAAAATAAAAATAAAAAATCGAACTCACATCCACTTTTTTTCTCGCATTTCACAATAAAAGAGTAAATTTCATAAATGATCCCCAATTACATGTAGTTTTCCAGATTTAATCCACAATTATAAGATATTCCATAAACAGTTCTCAATTTTTTTAAAAATTAATCCACAAATAGTTCTTTTCAAAAAATATAACAATAAATTTTGAGTAATTTCTCAAAATGGTTCTTTCTAATAAGGTTTTTCTCCAAAGTAATCCTCAATATATAAGCAAAAATTAAAAACGTGATCCTTTATAATTGAGATGTGTTTCTTAAATAGTCTTTTATAAAAAAATGTCTATTAAATGACAGTTAAATAAAGAATATTTTGATACTCTTTATTATCTAAACTATGAATAAATCCTCAAAATGATTTTTTAAGGAACATCAAAATACCCTCTATTTAACAGTCATTTACTAGGCATTTTTTATAAAAAACTATTTAAGAAATAATAAAGGACCACATTAGTAATTTTAGCCTATTGAGGATTACTTTGGGGGCCAAATAGCGCTGATACCTCGCGGTTTGCAAAATAAGCACCAATACCCCCTCTTTTTTCAAAACAAATTTCTAAAGTTCCTGTGGTTTCAAAATGTTGCACCCGTGCCCCATCTGATCATTTTCCGGCAAAGAAGGGGGGCATTGGTGCATATTATTTAAACTATAGGGGGTATCAGTGCTGATTTTTATTTCTCGCATATTTTTTGTTTTTTCCATTTTTTCCTTTTTTGTTTCATTTATTAATAAAGGTTTTTTTAAAAATTATTTTTATAATGTTCTTAAAATTTAAAGTTATTTTTGTTTGAAAAAATAACATATAATGCATATATACTTCTCAAATTAACAATTTTTGTTTTTTCTGAAAAAAAGGTAATTTTTTTAAAAACTTCCAAAAAATGAGGAATAAAATAAGAAACAAATTAATACAAAAATAAAAATGAATATCCTTTTTGGACATCTTAATTCTATGGACTTTTTTAGGCGTGTCCAATTTTTTTGTATAAGAGTTTTTTTGCATATTTTAATTTTTTTCATTTTGTTTTTCAATATTTTTATTTTTTATTCTTTAGTTTTTGAACTTTCCAAAAAATTATTCTAAGTAACAAAGAGTGAAAATGTTTAATTTGAGATAGATGTAATATATGTTAAAAAAAATTTCATTTCAAACACAAAGAATTTGAGAATTTTTGAAACATTATAAAAAAATTGGAAATATATTTAAAAAAAATCCAGGAAAAGGAAAAAAAGAGATAGAAATTATTTTTTTTAAAAAAGGAAGAATAATAAACGAAAATAAGAAATGAGCACGAATGCCCCCTATGGTTTAAAAATTATGCGCCAATGCCCCCTCTTCGCCAGAAAATGGCCGAAAAATAATCAGAGGGGGTGTGGGTGCAACGTTTTGAAACCACATGGACTTAAGAAATAAGTTTTGAAAATAGAGAGGGTATTGGTGCCAATTTTCCAAACCACAGGGGGTACCAGAGCTATTTGGCCCTTACTTTGGGAAAAAACCTTACTTGAAGGGATCATTTTGAGAATTTACTCAAAATATTGTCATATTTGGTGAAAAGGACTATCTGTGAAATCATTTTCAAAAGTTGAAGAATGTTTATGAAATATTTTATAATTGGAGACTAAGGGGGGTGTATTCAGTTCAGATTTTATAAGATTCTGATAGATTGTTTAGAATCT